AATAAGCTTCAAAGGGCCTATGTGGCCTTTTTAATTCTCCACTTTTATTTATGTTGCTTTCTTAAAAGAACCTATAAGGCAGGTCAGGCTGAGAGAGACTGACTGACCCACATTCACCCAATTTTCACAGCTCAGTAGGGACATGAAGCTGGACACCCCTAGACACCATCCAGCACACTAACTGTTCCACCATGCTGTCTTTCACATGCATTTTCCCTGCCTGCAATGTAATGCCAGAAGAGGACAAGTATCTCTCTGTGACAAGAGGGAACCAATTCCATGTACATTTGTAACATGTAACATTGTGTTCCATCTCAGGGGAGAAAGGCGCATCTTCCCTTTGCACTGCCAAAAGCAGAGCACATATGCACTGTGTGCATCCACTTTTTGCCTCTTTGGGTGAATGTGTGAATCAGCTCTCATGCAACATTCCACCTCACCCAGTATCCAGATGGCCTCCTGAAACACAGAAGGCACATAAAGGACAGACAAGGACGCATGATACAACAAGAACAAGAAAAGAAAGACAAAAGATATTGACAGATGTATAGGGTTTTTATTCTCTGTTCCAAACACTGCCATCTCTGATTAATGCCATGGAACATAAGATGCACCTGTGCTAATAATTCTGTCTAAACAAATTGTCACATGGAATGTCCTCAAGCAATCTATACAACCAGAGGCCCCATTGAGTTAAGGGGAGACTCCCATCGACCTCTGTGGAATTGCTGGTTCTGGCACAGCATAAACAAGAAAAATCTTCACGGTTAGGTGAAGTAACCTTTCTTTCATTCAGTGTACAATAGTCTCTCCCAGAATCAGTAATAATAGTATGTATCTTGCATGCACGCACGCGCGCACACACACACTCACATGCACATGCACACAAGGCATGCAAGCAAAGAAAGGGCTACAGCATGAATCCCTCCCATACCTGCTCCCAGATGATTTCCTTTGTCTCCTGGGGTAGAGGTTAAATGGGAAGCAGGAAGGGGGAAGAGAAAGGAATTGTTAAGACTGGATCACACACTGTTAGTTGGTACATACACACAAACACACACAGTGCTACGATGATTGACAAGTCAAAGTAAAAACAAAAATCCCCTAGAGCTATAAATGAGTTGTACTTGATTTTAACATCAGAATCTAGCAATGCAGTGGAACTGAGCTGATAAATCTATGATCCCACTAGATTTTGTTGGACTCTCCATCAGCCCCAGCCAGCCTGCTGATGATGAGAGGTGATGGGAATAGCAACTACAACTCATAAACATCTGGAGGGCCAATATTCCCTCCCTGTAATAGAAAGAGATGATGGAGACCTGAGGTAATAGAATAGACTGTACCATTCCAGATAATGAGAGAAATCACTCCTCTACGTAGAGAAAAATATATATGTGAGTAGCATAACAGGGAGAGAAGCAGGCTAAAACTTTTCTCTCCAAAGCGCTGATTTTTGACAACCGCCATTGGTTTTACAAATTGGCATCTTGTAATACCAATTACAAGATGCAAGTTCAGAATATCACAGAGGAGACCAGGTTAAAGGAAGAATATTGGAGCCAAGAAAAATATAATCAAATCCCTCAGGGGTTAATCATCTCCCCGTTGCTGTTTAATATCTGTATGAGGCTGCTGGGGGAGATGTGTTGGACTACAACTGGCACAATTCACCTTCCAACGATGTTGTCAAACACTTGGGGGAGACACACTATCATCCGAGTATGAATGTTTGATCTGTCAACCACACACTAGCATTTTAATCCTCTCAAACAGAAGCAGGTTAGGGTGTCATCAGTAATTGTATATGAACCCATATGAATACAAAAGCAAGCAAGGACTCTATGTCATTGCAAAGATTAGCAAGAAAGAGAAATAGCATCCATTTGTGTGGATAAGGAAATAACAAATCTCCCATGACACAGGCAAGAGACATATTCTGCCCTCCAAAGTGCATGTCTGTGCACATGTGCACAGCCACATGCATATAGGTAAGCACAAGGTAAGACCCCAGAAGTATCTGCTAGAGGGAACATAACAGTTTGTGGGGAGTCAGTTCACACAGAATCACCACTTACTGGTTTTGTTGTGGCTGTGAGAGATTCCATCTCTTCATGCGTCATCCATACATTTCCAGTTGACTAGAAAGAGGAAATTTGGGATGAAGAAGAGGGAAATCAATATTCAAAACTAGAGAAAGCCATTCCTGCTTTACTGGAGAGGAGGCCTCAGCTGTTCCCAGCAGGAGGCGCTGTGAGGACATCTCCAGCAGACTTACTGTACGGGATGTTGCAGGTGCTGAGGGGCTGGTTAGCGATACCATCTCCTGAATGGCGAGGCGCAACTTGAGCCGGTGCAAGGGGTTGCTGATGCCAATTTCCCGCTGGATTTCTGTGTCGGACAGGTTGGCCATAATGGCACCACTCTTGACATTGGCACGGCAAGCAGCCACGTACCAGGCTGGCATGCCAACCCAGAGCTGTCAATGTAAATGAGGCAAAAACATGAAGTTAGACAGACACTGGGCCTAGGGAGTTCTAGGGGGAACAAAGCCCCTTCTGCAGCCTTCCACAATCTGGTGCCTTCCAGATCTGTGGGACTACACCTCCCATGATCAGCCAGGCTGGAAGACCCCACCTTGGCAAAGACTGACTTTTTAGGACTCACACGTCATTCTTCCAGGAATCTGCACTTCACTTTGAAGTATGGCTTGTACTTCAACCATACATCATGTGATTGTGAGGAAACAGATCACACCGGACTACTCTGCAGGTGATCCAAAAATGCCATCTATTTCCCAGGGAGATCACATCCTAACTTTCTCAAGCTCTGCTGTTATCTCCTATCAACCCATTGTTATGGCACAAGCTTTCAAAAACTTTTGTCATAATAAGTTTATTAGTCTTAAAACCACCACAAGACCATTTGTTTCTTTTGCTGCAATAGCTGAAAAGCGTAACCCCTCTGGAAATTATTCCAACAGCTGTTCCACTCCAAGAATCTTGTATTTCCTTCTCCCCCCCCCCCCAATTACCTCCAGCCAGGAGACAACAGTGGGCCCATCCCAGGAAGCAAAAGGTAAGCCTTGCCGGCAAGCTTCCTCCAGCAGCTCATGCCTAAGAAAATACAGAAGTGATGGATACGGGAAGAAGAATTAAGAAGTGCTGAAAGTCCAACAGCTGGCCTGTGCCAAATCTAATATACAGTAGGACTGGTTCCAAGCCCTCTAACAGATGCTGAAAACCACAGATATTAGTGAATGCTATACATAACATGATAAAAGAAAAAAAAACCCAGAAAGAAGTATTTTCACAATGTATTACTAGAACTTCACCAACAAGAATACATAGCATGGTTTCTGACTCCCTCTAGTTCTGCTAAATACACTGTGAAAACACACACTTCTAGTTTTTTTTTCCTTTTAATTTTAAAAATATTTTCAAATCATGGAGAAGTAAAACCATGGATACCGATCCCACAGATACAGGGGTCTTATGATCCCACTTCCTCCCTCTGTGATCCCATCCATCATACCATGTTCAGTTGCCCCAAGCTTTTTTCATTAGCCCTGGCAAATTTTAAAACACTTTCTTCAACCTGCCCCTCCCTCCCCCGATATATTGCAATACAACTTCCATCCTTCTCAGCCAACATGGCCTTATCCACAGTGAACAAGCTTGACAAACGCTGCTACGTTACAATCTTTGTCCTTATATGTATCATAATACCCCCTACAATCCAATTACCATCATTCCCATTTTGTATGTGAGAATGCTGAAACTGGCAGGAATGAGCATGATTCACTCAGGTGCTGCTTAGTAACATTGCAAGTACAACTAAGGTTCATATCTGGATCTTGTAGGTCCAGTCTACAACCCCATTACCTTCTGCAAAATAATCCATTGTGCCCAACTAACATCATCTTACTTTTTTTTGTTCCTGCGGTCCTTGTCCACAGGCCCCGACAGTTTAGAAAGGCCCAGAGGGTCTGCAGGCATCTCATCTGATGGTGTCCCAGCTATAGAGAAGGACAGGCAAGTTGCACAGAAAGGAAGACAGACAAATACACCATTAGCTTTTTTAATCTCCTTCACAATCAAAACAGGAGTCCTGTGCAGATTTCCCTAGCGCTTTGCCACATAGTTAGACTTATGGGAGAGCGAAAGAGAGAGACAGAGTGAGAGAAAGAAGAGAGAGACAGAGAGAACAAATAGAGAGGACACTGGCCTCCTTTCTCTGTGTGGCCTCCTTGTGGCTCATCACCACAGTCTTCCACACATTAAAAAAAAAGGAGTGGAAAACCCTGGGCTCCCCAGGCCTCTGGACTTCCACTCCCAAAGGCCTCAGCCAGGATGGCAGATGGGAAAATGTTTTGTGGGAATCATTGTCCAAAGGATCCTCAGCTTTGCATTAGAGGCTGAACCTCTCCCAGATGGAGCCTCTCAATTCATGCTGTTTCCTCTGTAAATTCATATGGTGCAAAGAGTCTACTTGAATAACAAGGGTTCCCCATAGGACAACTTCATTCTCTAACACATGGAAGAATTGGCGCAAGAGAGACAAGGAGGTGATGGAGGACGCAGGACGACAGGCTCATTTCTGCCTTCCCCATGGAAATGGGGTGCAAATAGGACTAATATTTCTGAAAGTTCTAGCACAGCAGAGGAATTGAGGGTAGGGAAGCAACATGCATATGACACAGAGAACCCCTGAACATTTTTTTGGCATCATATCAGATAGATTCAAGGTCCTTAGGCCTGAGATGTAATTCTAGAGTCAGTTATTAGAAATGATCTGTGGCTCCAGAATTCCTAAACCATCAGGGCCAATGACAGTGCTGGCTGGTGGATTCTGGGAGTTGCAGTCTTTAAAAGCAACTTTTTAAAGCTCTAAGGGGCCTGTCCTCATCAGTGGGTGACATGATATGACCCAAGTGAGGAGATGTTTCTGTCTTTCACCTTATGTGCTCATAAAGGCCTTACGTGGAATGGAGGAGGAAATGCCATGTTTCTAATATATACCAGATTACTGTAGATCAAAAACATCTCTTCAGGTGCTCCAGCTTCTCCAAACTGCTGTATAAAAAGTGCTTTTCCTCCACTCAGAAAATATTCTTAGCAATGCGCAGAGAATTTGGAGGGGACCATGTGTTTGCTTTGGGCAAAAACTCCCAAATCATCAGCCATAATGAAAGCCCAACTCAGCCAGCCATCATGGTTATCCAGGACTTGGCAAACATGGAAAGCCACTGAATTCTGACTCCAGCCGCACACATAAAAATGATCAAAAATACCTTGAGAACTAGAAACTTTGAGGATGAGGCCATGGTCTCTACCGAACATACTATTAGATGGCAATGATTCCCGGAGCAGGGACAAGAGAAGGGTCCTGTTCAACAATTCTAATGTCAGATATTTGCAAGGAGGCAGAACAGCCAGTTTTCACAGAGATGTGGAGCAGAGGAATTTTCACAAGAAAACTTGAGGAATGATGGTGGAGGAGGAGGAAGAAGCAGAACTAAGGCTGCGGGTGGGGAAAGCATACCAAGCGAGGGAGACTCACGGCCCAACTGTCCCAGTCTTCCTTTCTCCTTCTTGCCAAACAGGCGCCCAATGGAGGACTTGATGCTCTTCTTCTTGGTGGACTTGTGCAAGGAATCCTGGCTGCTGTTGGTGCCATCTGCTCCCAAGCTGGGACAACCGGATCATTAGGGGTAGAGGTACAAAGTGAAAGGGCTTCTTAATGTAAACAGCCATGTTTGTCCCCACAGTGCGACCCTTAACTTTTGCTACTCTAAAAGGAAAAGCTTGAGAAAAAAAAGTTACTCTTCTGGAGCACAGCTCTCTGAGCTATGGAATTCTGAGAGTTATTACCCAACAAGGTTTTGCTAAGAGTTGACCTTCTCTGCTTTGCTGAGAGATCTTTTTTTCCCCCCATCCCAAAAAATGAGATTCATCTTTCCAACCCACACTCTGCATCTCCTGTGCTCCCAATGGAACAGTTACCCACTTCCCAGGAATCCTCCTCCTCCTCCCTCAAAAACTAACTTTTGATCTAGGCCTTCAGCATAACGTGCTTCTAGTAAGGCAGAAGGTGGACTGGAGTGTAATGATAACCTTGGGGTGATTTGCTGAAGATCAGACATGACTTTTTTCTGACTCCCAATCAATTCATAACAGCCAAGTTAAGGGTTATTTTGGAAGGGAAATGTTTCTAGATTAGTGTTTCCGAACCAAGAAATTTAGGGTAATGGTGGAGGAAAACACAAGTGGATTCTTATAGGAAAAGTATATGAACTCATTCAGAAAAGAGAGACACTCTGCATATGCTCAGGGGTACTGTTTTCCTGGGCTTCTATTAACTCTGCCCCCCTCAGTGGAAAGTACACGCAGAGACCTTCTGCCTCATGTGCCAAAATGTTTGAAACAATACACAAGCAGTACGACATGTTCCCAAAATTAATAATCAAGTCAGTTTTACTCTGTCTGTACCTCAGTCTTCCAGCCTCTACCTTCAAAAAGGCCCACTGCTGGCCCTATTGCCCCACCCATCCCTTGCAACTTACCTGGACCTCAGGTCCCTCCCATCTTCCAGTGCTCCAGCCTGCAAGGTTAAGGCTTGGGTCATGCGCTCTAGACGCATCGTGCGGGGGGTGGAGGGAGCCGGGGGTTCACACAACGCCAGGGCCTTCTCCTCGGACCCTCGCCCCTCTTCCTTGGCAATGTGGTTCTGCTGAGAGGACAAGAATAATACAGACTCACGTGGCATTGTTGGTAGGGGAGAGGAAGTATTACTACTTCAAGCACATGCTGCACCCAAGAATTTGTTTCAGTACTGGAACAGAACATTCAGTTCTATCACAAGCAAATACACTCTTGATTTGCCCCTAAACTTTTCCATTTCAGTGGCCCATAATGCGCCAGGCAGTGCCCGCCCCCACTGACAACGCACCATTTTCTCTCCATCGCGAGCAGGACTGTGAGGTGCCAGGCGTGGTGTAGAATGGCCGCTGCTAGGGGGAGACGGACTGGCCAGAGTGGAGCTGGTGACAGAGGGAGGAATTGAAGTCCCTGAGCGATACCGGCCCAGAGATCCATCCAAACTGGCGCTGGTTACCCGGCTTTCAATTTCCTCCGCCCGCTGTTCTGTGGATTCCTTTTCCTCCTGGATCAGCCTTGCAAGGACAGCAAAAGGGAAAAAAAGAAAAAGAAAAATTTAGAGATAACCAGGGTTATGTCTCGTTGTGTCTACCCTCCCTTCACCAATGGCTGCAAGTAGCAGCAAAAGCCATTTGTTAGCAAACAAAGTAGAATATCTGAATATCTTCACATCTTTTATTCTGATTTTAAATTCTGGACCGTATATAAATTTGCAATTATGAAGACCAATTATTACTTGCACAATACCACATTCAAAAAGGAAAAAAAACAGTCCTTGCCTGGCAAATGCACAGGTACACAAGATAAATGAAAATCTAGATACAACTGTGCAAGTAAACTATCACAGTATGAGTAGAAAATAAGATACAAGTCTTTTGCAGTGATGGTGCCAAGACTGTGGGGGCAGCCTTTCCATGGAAGTATGCCAGATGGTATTTCAGGTAATCTACCCAAAAGATTCCTACCTCACCAAGCTTTATACTATGTCCTATTTTTCAAAATGCTTGCTCTGAATTTGTATTGTTCATATTATTGTTTGACAGCTCAGTGAGATCAAGGGTTTGATTTCTCACTGTGCCTCCCATGAAAAGAGACAGCCTGTGTAGCCTTGGACAAGCTGCACAGTCCTAGAGCACCATCAGTAGAACAGACTGTAAAACACACTTCTGAGTACTTTTATACCTAAGAAACCTTGGAAAGAGTTGCCATAAGTTGGAATAAACAGCATATAGGTAAAATTCATTGAAGTATCTTGAGCAAGCCAAGTTAGCTATTTTGAGAGTTTGTGAACTGAAGACTTGGGAGAGAAATGTAGTTGTTGCCTCTGATTTACAGCAACCCTAGGAATGAGCAATCTCCAAAATGTCCTGTTCTCAACAGCCTGGGGCTTCCTTTCTGGAGTCATTCCATCTCATATGTGGGCTTCCTCTTTTCCTGCTGCTTTCAACTTTCCTAGCACTACTGTCTTCTCCAGAGAATCTTGCCTTCTCCTGATGTATTCACAGTATGGCAACCTCAGTTTTGTTTATTTTTTACTCCAGAGACAGTTCAGACTTGATTAGCTTTAGGAACTACTTGTTCATCTTTCTGGTGATCCAAGGTACAGTGGTGCCTCGCTTAACGAGCGCACCGTACAACGAAGAATCCGGCCGCCGGATGACCCGAAATGGCCCACGTCAGTGTTTTCGCACCCTCCCCTTGCTTACCAAGGTCGCGAAAACGCTGCAGGGGGCCATTTCGGGTCATCCGCGGCCATTAAAATCAGCTGATCGGCGGCTCCAAAATGGCCGCCGGACCGCGAAAACATCGCTGGAGGGGTAAGTTTTGGCGCCTATTGGAACGCATTAAACTAAGTTTAATGCGTTCCAATAGGCTTTTCCTGCCCCGTACAGCGATGTTTTCGCATAGCGAAGGTTAATCCAGAACGGATTAACCTCGCTATACGGGGCACCACTGTATCTGTAAAGCTCTCCTCCAGCACAATATTTCAAATAAATCAATTTTTCCCTGTCAGCTTTTACACCCATTCATAGTGATCAGGAATACAACAGTGTGGATGATCTTGGCCTTGATCTCCAATGACACATGATTACACTCGGTGATTCCCCACCCCCCCGGCCGCTAATTATTTTATTGCTACTCTTCCAAGTCTCAGTCTCCATCTGATTTCTTGGCTGCAGTTTCCATTTGGACTGATGAATGAACGAAGGTAAAGAAAATCTTTAACAATTTCTGTTTCTTCATTGTCAACATTAAATTTAAGTAGTTCTTCTGTATTAATGATTTTTTGTCTTCTTAATGATTGTTCAACTGTAGTCCTGCTTTGACCCTGTCTTTTACTTTACCCAAAAGTCACTTCAAGCCACTGCTGCTTTCTCCTATTAAGATGGTGTCATCTGCATATCTTAAATTGTTGATGTTCGTTCCACCAACTTTCACTCCTCCTTCATCTGAATCTTGTGCAGCTTTCCATATGGTGTGTTTATTATGTACAGACAGATAGAGAGATAAAATGCATACTTGTCTGTCACTTTTGCCTACAGGAACCTACATATTCTGTCTGGCCTAATAGTAGCTTCCTGTTTACAATACAGGTTACGCATCAGGACAATCAAGTGCTCAGGCAAACCCATTTCTTCCAGAATAATCTATAGATTCTCATGTTCCACACAGTCAAAGGCTTTGCTGTAGTCTATAAAGCATTGATTGAGTTTCTTCTGAAATTCTTTGGCGTGCTTCACTTTGCTTGCATGGAAAATTAGAGCAATGCTCCTATAGTTACTGTACTCTTTGGCATTTCATTTCTTAGGGATTGGAATATATATTGAACATTTTCAGTCTGTGGGCCAGTGTTTTGTTTCCCATATTTGTTGGCATATACTTGTTTGGACGTTTGATAAATTCAGTCTGTGTGACTTGAAACAGTTCTTCTTGCAATATTCATCTATCTTTGGTGATTTATTTCTTCCCAGTGCTTTCAAAGCAGCTTTCATTTCACCTTCTAGAATTGCAGGTTCTTCATCATAGAATTCCTATTCAAAGAAATCTGTCATCTTTTTATCTATGCTGTATAGGTCTTCAGTATACTGTTCTCACCTTCTCTTTATATTCTCATAGTGAGGAAGTGTGCTTCCCTATATATAATGCTGTTTGCAGGGATTTTTTTAACCTAAGATGACCTAAGGTTAAAAAAAGAGCAGGAAAGGTTTTTTTCCTGTTCTTATCTTGGATTTCTGTTCTCAAGTAGAAGCAAAATTTAGCAAATGGAGCTGTTCTTAAGTTGGATTGTTCTTAAGTAGGGACATTCTTAAGTAGAGACCCCACTGTAATGCTGTTTGCAGGGATTTTTTCATGGAGGAGCATTAAAACATATTCTCCATTTGCAGTCTGAAGTGGCATTCTCTTAGTGGTAGGTACAGTCCTCCTTTCCACCTCATTTTCCTGCATGTGTAACAAGCCACTGATGTGCAGGAAAGAATAATACAAGGAAAAGCTAGTGGAGTTAGCTTTCAGTGCAGTTTAAGGCAAACAGAGGGTATTGTATTGTGGGAAAATCCTTGATGCTCTAGACTAGAACATTTTCAGGTTAAACTCTAAAGCATGCATAAAGAAAGCTGTGGGTGGCTGACAGGATTAAAAAAGAGATGCATTCTGGAAAAGCACTCATGCAGGCATGTTGCAAAGCTGCCCTTCTAGGTCTGGGAAGGATAACTCACTTGATTTCTTTGTTGATGGCTTCCAGCTGCTCCTGTAGCATAATGGCCAAAGTCTGCACATCAGCCTGCCCACTGGGGGATAGCAGGTCCGCTGAGCTGAAAAGGGGGTCGCGCTCATCTTCATCTGAGCCATCCAATCCACCCTCAAAAGGACCTCCGGCGGCTGCCTGTTGAGCCCTCTCCCACTCCTGAGAGGAGGATGCCACCTGTAGGAAAGACAGGGAAAATCAGGGAAACAAGGAAGCGTGATCCAGTCACGCACACACTCTGCATGTTTGGTTAGTTACTATAGAGTTAGTTACCACAGAGACAAGGGAATCCCTCGTCTCTAGAGAAAGGCCCACAGAAAAAATGACATCTGTCGAAGCCAAGAGCATTTTTCTCTTTTGCTCCTGTCTCCAACCTTCTGTCTCCAACAATAAGAAGGGAAGCCTCCCCCACCCCCAACTGACTTCAAAAGAGACACTCACCATGTGGGTGTCCGGCAGAAATTGGGGTAGGAAACAGAGGAAAAAACAGAGAAGAATAATTATAAGGGCAAAGAAAAGATAAGAAAGGAAAGGGATAAAACCACTGCTGGATCTTATTCATCCTGCCAGAAGAAGCAACCCTTCCTATGCCCCAGATGTGCTACAACATCCTCCAGGTTTTCTGTTCACCTTGTGAACGTAGCCCTAAAATGTCCTCTTTGATCAGTCCTTCTCTGTGGGCGCTCCTGAGGCAAGCGGCGTTCTGTAAATACCACGATACTTCCCTCTTTCTCTTTGCACTCTTGCTTTGCTTTCCCAACACTAATTTCTATCAGTTTTATTTGCCTCTTTACTGGGAAAGAAGCACCCTTAACTTTTAGGGCTGCTTTCCCATTACAACTCTTATCATTCACAGCTAAAAGTTATCTACTTGTGTGTTTGCTTGCTTGCTTTATTCCCCTGTCTTTCTCCTCCAAAATGGCTCTCCAGGCAGCTGACAATAAAGCAAATAAAATGGATGCAAGTTAAAAAACATAGGGTAGATAAATTAAAATAGTGAACTTGAAAAGCAATTGAAAAACCAGCATAGTTGTTTAAAAGAAAAGTGATTGGGGGGGATCAAGAAAAAAAATACATGTATTTTTCAATACATTTTGTCAGAAGTTGCAGAATTATGCATCTTAGTTTAATGCAAGAATATTTTTGTCTCAACTGTTAAGACAGCCTACATTTTAAAGAATCCTATTAATTAAAAAGATAAACTATAGCTAAACACTCTACTTTTCTTAAGCTAGGAGCTCCAATTTACAATAGGCATTTTCCAGAAGAACAGTCTTCTACGATTCTCAGCTTGTCCAGGTCCTATATCCTTAAAGTAACTTCCATGCCTCCTCAAATCTCTGCCGTTCCATTCCCTATATCTTCCTTTTCAATAGGGGCAGTGCTGAATGTCTTCCTGAAAGAGATCTAAAAGATACGTCTTTCACTGTTCATTTTTAGACGTACACTAAAGATGTACTAATTTCAGTAGTTTTTAATACTGTACTTGAGTTTAGTCTACTAAAGTGCTATGTTCTGCTTTCAAACCAGTTGCTGTTTTAAGATGTCTGCTTTTATAGTGGGATTATTTTATATTGTTTGTCCATTATTCTGGCATTGTTTGACTATGTTACTATAGCTAATGTACATTCAAACGTCAAAATCATACCACACAGTCATGTCTGTGGAAGCCAGACTACTTAATTCACAACAACTTTTTATGGGTAATCAATGAGTCTCTCCACTTGGATTTCTGGGCACATGCCAGTCTGATGGGATGACATGTGCCCCAGATCCAGACTGTGTTTGACTATGTTACTATAGCTAATGTACATTCAAACGTCAATATCATACCACACAGTCATGTCTGGGCACATGCCAGTCTGGTGGGATGGCATGTGCCCCAGATCCAGACCGGCAGGGACTTGTTAATTAGCAGTAAAAAGCTGTTTAGAGTTATGCTATTTGCCTCCAATAGGTGTTAACTATGCAACAGGATTTTGGCTCAAGCTATACAAGTAATTTTGGTTTTTTTAAAAAACAGAAGTGGGGTAGAAGCAAACAAATACACTAGTACTAAGCATCTGGAGGCATGATGTTATGGTGGCTGGAGTCAGTCTCGTCTCATCCCACCTTCTTTTTTTCTTCTTCTTCTTTTTGTGCTACTTGCTATTTCCAGGGGCAGAAAAAAGTTAAGAATATAAAGATGTCTTATTGCATGTTCTGTATGGCTGGATACTACATGGAAACTAAGACCAAGAACCAATGCTACTCTTTTAGACTACAGCCCCGGAATCCCCCAGGCAGTGGCCACATTGTCTAAAGCATCTGGAAATTATGGTCCAAAGAAGGAACATTTCTGAGTTGCTGATTGTGGCAGTTACCTATTGTAACATATAGCTCTGTCCCCAGATTTCCTTCTAATCAAATGATGCAAGTCCTAGATCTGTTTTCCCCAATGTGGTGCCTTCTCTTGGGCTTCACTTCCCTTGGTCTCTCATTATTGCCGATGTCAACAACTGCTATGAGAGTTGTCCTCCAAACATTTTGGGGGGCACCTGATCAGAGAAAACTGCACTAGACTTTGTCAGTGCTCTCCCAGCATTCCATATGGTCCCTCCCCTCGCTAGGGCTCATTCCCTCCCATCTGTAAAACCATGGCAAATTCGACACAGTAATCTCATACCTTGGTGGCTTCATCCTTGACACTCCAGCGGCCCTTCTTTGAACGTCGTGCCACACCAGCACTGCTGTAATGGTCCACGTGGGCCCCCACGGGCAGCGTGGGTGCCTGGGAGTAACGCAGCTCCAGCACGCTGCCCGGCAGAGACCTCCGTGGAGCAGGGGAAAAAAGACTTGTGAGCAAGGATGATGAGAAAGGAGGAGACATGCGACAGAAGAAGGGAGAGTCTCCTCCATCCAGATCAGGGGGCCCTCTCTCCCACAAGACTTCTAACACGCATAGCATTCTCCCGTTAAAGGCCCCTTGCACTAAAGGAGGGTTCTAAGTGTTCATCATCTTGCAGAGGATAAAGCAGATCTCCTTGGAATTCCAGAGCTGATTGTTAGCCCCACAGTAATAGGGATGGAAATGGAACCTTAGAGAAATAAGCTAATGAGTTGACTGCAGAGTAGGGATGTTTTAGGAAAGGAATGGATTTATTTATGTTCCTCTCCCTCCAAAATGGCTGAAGAAGGCACTACATTTGTTATTATTCTTGATTTGGGGGGGGCTTCTTACCGGGAATAGGTAGAGACTGGGCGTCCACGTAACTGGTCAATCTCCATTTGCATCCTTTCTATCTCAGCTAGCAGCTGTTCCTGTAGGGCAGGTATAAAGAAATAACATTAGTGCTGAGAATGTACCGTATTTTTCGCACCATAAGACGCACTTTTCCCCACAAAACAGAGGGGTGGAAAGTCTGTGCGTCTTATGGAGCGAAGAAAACAGATTATATTTTCCTGTTTTCTTCTCCTAAAAAATTGGTGCGTCTTATGGAAAGGTGCGTCTTATGGAGCGAAAAATACGGGTAACTTTGTTGCAATCAGAGCCCTCTCTAGTACCCTTCTGATGCTTCCAGAAATTTTCCCTTAACTCTGACTCGTAACACATGCATAGCCCATACTGACCCCACATTCAAAATGCCATTTCCCACTTGGGAGACTGTCTCAATCCGCTTACCTTATTTGCCAAGAGCTCATCCTGAACCTTCTTCATGTTGGCAATTTCCTCACTCAGGGTATTCTTGACAGGGAAAAGAAAAGTAAAAGAACAGTTTTCAGCATGGGCGAGAATGCTGAAAAGGTCATCTTGATAAGATGCTTCTGAAGGCCTTCTGCCCCATAAATCCTGCATTTTTTTTCTCTTCCCTACCTAAGAAAGAGGTGCAACCCCACCCTCTATACACACACCTTCTCCTCCAGGGCCCCCATCCGCTCCTTGAGATGCAACTGGAGCCGTTCATTGGATTCAGAGAGCAATTTGTCCACCGTTTCAGACAGGCGTTTGTTGTGCTCATCATTCATCTTCTCTCTCTGCCGGGCCTGTTTTTGCCAAGGATTGGAACAGAAGCTGGGAAGGATTACAAGATCTCCCTCTCTAACCTATGCCCCCCCCATCAAAAGGTGCCTTCCCTTCCCTTTCCCATTCATTTCCCAGATAGCTTCAACCACCGATTCCAGCCTCCAGGGTCCCCACCTGTTCACACCACTGCCCCCATTTCCCCATTCACTTCCATAGCAGTTCATCACCCATGAAACTCCTGTAAAGTAGGGGTATCAGAGCTATCTTACCAAGCTTAACAGCAGGGGAGGGAATCTTCTAGTCAGCAGACCTAAGATAAGGTCCCAGCCCACCAGAGCTTCCCCAGTGATCCTGTCCATCCATAAAGCCTCTTCCAAATGCTGCCACCTCCCAGAGGGGGAGGAGTTACTACTATCTGATCAGAGATAGTGGATAACAGGGAGGACTCCCTTGTGCTTGCAAAGGAACCACCCTTCAGTCTCTCACTGGAAATTTGGGGGCCTTCTTGTCCCATTCCTAGCCAAGATTTCATAAGCCATCTGAACTCCAGTTTAGGATTCCACCAGCTCCTATATGTGCCGGCTGAGATCAGATTGTTTCCCTGTCTTGGGAAGAGAAGCAGGGGTCAAGCCTGGTGCCTGGCTGACTCCATAAGGCATCGTTCTGCAGGGATTCAAGCAACGATGCCTTTACCAATGCTACTTGGAGGCACTCGGGATTGGACCCGGCAGGGATTCAAGCAACGATGCCTTTACCATCGTTTACTACTTGGAGGCACTCGGGATTGGACCCAAGACTTTTTCCATACAGACCCTGTTCTACAGCATTGACCTAGGGCAGTTTTTCTAGTTTTGCTGCCCCACCTACTCATCTGATTCGATTACCATTTTCTATCATGCCCATACCCGTTGGAGCTCTTGGTTCTTCTCTTCCAGTTGGGCCTCAAGTTGCCGCAAGCGTTCTTCAAAATTCCCATGACGCTCCTCTGCCTAAAAGATGGGACAAACAAGATGTCTTCCTGTTCTTGGCTTCTGGGCCTTGTCAGCATCTCACCCTATCCAGCTCACCCCCTTTTTCCAACGACACTGGCCACCCCTTATGTAGCAGCGTTCAAGTTTCCCCTGCTTTACAACAGTACCTTGTTGAGGGCAGCCACTCGCTGGGCTAACTGGGCTTCTATCTCAGGTAAGGTCTCAGCCTTCTGAAGGGTCTGCTGAAGCTTCTGCTTGGCATCTTCCAACCAATCTTGTAGCTGCCTGTTCTTCTCTTCACTCTGCACAGAGGACATGATTTAAATTCAAGAGTTTTCTCAAGGAACATAGCCCACTTGTCTGCACAACTGTGGAAAATAACAGACAATAAGTCAAATCTTTCAGGTCCCCATATACCAGAATTAGAAAATGAAGCTGTGAGAAGAGCAAGGACATAACTAGAAGGTGTTAAAGACATCCTGTGGAGCATCTGAGTCATTTTGATCTACATTCTAGCTGTATGTAGAGGTTCAGGAGAGGTGCTGGAAAGAAGCAGAGGAAGCTTGACAAGCATCACTGTGTATATGAAAAGTAGGGGGAGGATGCTAAGAACAGTCAGACACCTAGCATGGAAGTACTGGGAACAGCCAAGGTTAATCAATCAGGAGAGATCAGAAAGCAGGGACTCACTTGTCGGTACAAGGACTCCTTACTGGCCAACTCGTTCTCCAGCTTGTCATTGACATCATGAAGAGAGGTTGCCTCCCGCTGGGCACTCAGGTAGCGTTTTTCCAGAGTGGTGATCCGCTCCTCCATATCTTCCCGTTGGGCTAACGCCTGTCGCCACCATACAAGAGAATGGAATGATGGAAAAGTGACATGGGTTGGACCTCGGAAACTGCTCTCCCTCCCGTTACCCTGAAACACAAAAAACCTCCCCCACAGATGCTTCCGTTGCCAAGATAAGGTAAAGGTAAAGGTTCCCCTTGACAATTTGTCTAGTCGTGTCTGACTCTAAAGGGCGGTGCTCACCTCTGTTTCCAACCCATAGAGCTAGCTTTTTTTTGTCCAAGACAATCTTCCGTGATCACGTGGCCAGTGCAACTTAGACACGGAACGCCGTTACTTTCCCACTGTGGTGGTACCTATTTATCTACTCGCATTTTTTTGTATGCTTTCGAACCGCTAGGTTGGTGGGAGCTGGGACAAGCGACAGGGGCAGTCCGTTGCGTGGATTCGATCTTACGACTGCAGGTCTTCTGTCCTTGCAGCACAGAGGCTTCTGCGGTTTAACCTACAGCGCCACCTCGCTGCCAATTGTGAGTGAAATGTAAGCTCCCTGCAACTGTCTACCCACCAGACACACCTTTTATATACCTTTCCTCTTCCCATATTGTTCATATTTTGATAGGCTCCTGCCGGGCCCCACCTAAACAAAAATGCTCCAGTCTTTGAAGCTAAGGGAGACTAGATTTTATGCTTTCAGGAGCAAAGTCTGTTCTGCAAACAGTGATTTTGTGGCTTGACATTGTATTATGCTGCAGAAGGACAACCCCTCAGGAGCAGTTAAGCTCTAGAAGAAACCTAGATCCATGCATAAGAGCTTCTCACAAAAGCTCAGACATAACTGAGGCATTAACATTATGTCTCTCTGGAGGCCCCACCCGATGGAACTCCTTCTCTAGAGAGGCCATCTGTAGCTGCTTTTAAGAGAAGTTAAAGTGCATCTGTTCTCCACGGCTTTTAATAAAAAATGTTTATAATATTTGTTGCTGATGGCTATTTGAAAGTTCGTTTTGCTCTTCTATGAAGTCATTTACATTAAATGTAATTTTATGCATGTGTCTGTTAATTCACAAGATATGCTATGCTAAGCTGACTACGAAAATGAAAAGCAACAAAGGAATACATTAAATATAAGCATGCATGCATACATCTACTTAAGGATCTCCTACCTTCCCTCCAATTCTTACAACTGGAAAACCTGTTTATTTTTTGTTATGGAGGACACTGGGGGTAAACCTTTGAACATCTCCAGATAAAAATGTGTTATCGCAGTCAGTAGAGATGGCTCATGGTCTAAGCAGGGTGTGCATCTCGCCCCCCCACCCCCAAATTTTGGAGTTTAGCACGGCCCCACCTCTGCTTAGACCATGGGCTGCCTATACCTACTAGAAACCAGAACATATTGTTTTGTGGTGGATACTAAATCAGACCTTCCTATTGACCCTCCTTTTTTTAAACCTTTCCTCATAAATCCTCAGCCTTTTTTATCATTTTGGTTGCTCCTTTTCCTATACTTTAATAAAGCCCGAAGACAGCCCCTCTGAGATAGTCAGAAATGCATGCAGTCTGCAGAATGTGGGGGACTCCCAGGTCTATATATTGAAATACTTATTCTTGTATTTTTCAGTCCCTTCTCAATAATTTTTAGCAAAGCTTTTGCATCTGCTGCTGCCACAACACACTGCTGTCCTGTGAGCCTATGCATCAATTAAGACCGCCCTCTGAAATACTTCTCCAGGTGATTCTGCCTTCAGAAGTTAGTAAGGAGGGATATTTTGTTTACATTATAGTTAATGGGCACCTGGTATAGAATAGGGAATTGGATATGTCAAGCAGTGTTGCTTACCTCCTTGAGGTCTCTTTGCAGCTTGGCATTGATCTCTTCAGATTTGATGAGGTCCCGTTGGGCTGTGGCCAACTCTTCCTCAAGTTCCGCCATCTGCCGACAGAGCATGGTAAGTCGCTCCTTCAGCTGGGACAGTTCTCCTCGCTGGCGCTCCAGGATCTCCTCTAGTTCAGACTCTCGACCACCATGTCCCAAATCAAGGGAGCCCGATCCATTTGCCTGAGGAACAGGGAGAAAAAAATTGTCGTATTATTTTGTTCACTTTCCCAAAACATATCCATTTAACTTTCAACCACCTCCATTCAAACCTCCACACATGCAAGAGTCAGCAGCTCAGTGGAAGGACACTTTCTTAGTATGGAAAAGTTCCAAAATTAAATTTGTAGCATCTTGTGCTTACTGTTATTTTTCAAAAAGGAGGATCTCAAGTACAGGACCAGAAAAGACTCCAGTTGGGGTCTTGTAAAGCCTCCGCTTAGCAGAAAATACTGGTCAAGATGAGCCAATAGTGTGGTCACTATATTTGCTTCATGTATTCTTCTCAGTCTGAACATATGAACTAAAGCCTTCTCCAACTAGCTGCACATTTCCTGCAGTAAACTGGGTCCTTTTAGCCTAAACTGCTAACTTCTTCAAATACAGCAAATGCTCAGAGGAGAAGACCCAACCAACTTCACACTACTCTAACTTGTTAACTCAATGTCCTAAAACAGTGGTTCTTAACCTTGGGTAATCCAGGTGTTCTTGGACTGCAATTCCCAGAAGCCTTCACCACCAGCTGAACCACCTCCTGAACCACCCAGTTGGCAGGCTAACACAGGCTTCTGCAGCACTAGAGGAAGCCTCAACAAGAGCAGGTGACTGAGTGGACTGTTTTTCAAATTAAAAAGAGGGAGGGATGAAACAGATTTGCAATGAACGGACAAGGAGGTTAGCCGAGTGCATGATGGAAGAACAGCAAGAAAGCAGGAAAGAAGAAGGAAATGCAAATACAAGAAAGGTAAGAGAGAAGTTTGGAATGGTAGGGGCTGTTTACAATACAAAACAATTGTGCTATGGTATAGAAGACATTCCCATAAGCCAAAATATATGAACCAAAGTTTATCCTCTACTTTCTTACAGGGGAGCCTTAAATATATGCTTCCGTGTTTTCACTTACTTTCTCATTGCTTTCTATGCATTTTCTTCCCCTGGTCCCTGCTACCTCTTAAATTTCTATTCCCACAACACTTACACAAATTTGACTGTCTCCCTCTTTGCTGGGATCATCTAGACCAGATCGGCGTCGAGCGAGCTGCTCACGAAGGGAGAGGGACTGTGGAGAGGACAAAGAAGTAGAAGGGCATGCACACGGGTTCAAAATGAAATTAGAACTAATGAACAATAAGCAGGTGATAACTGACTCCAGCCAAGAATAATCTGTTTCAGCAGTATTGCAGAACCTTTCCAATTTACTATCCATATTAAATTCTAGCTCTGTGCTACTACGAAAGACAACTTCCACTTAGAGTAGTCCTATAGAAGTCACTGGTACTTAGTCATGATTAACCTAAGTACCATTTATTTCACATTGCTGACTCCAAGTATGGTGCAAACAGACAGGTGCACAGGCGCATGTATGATCGCAATCTCCCTTAAAGAGACCTGTCCATCTGCCAGGGAATTGCTCCAGCCCCCAAAGTAAAAGCCCTACAGCTGGACCAAAAAAAGGTCCAGTTTGGGCATGGACCAGGGTAGAGTTGAACACATTTTCCCATTCATTGTGTGATTGCCAGGAAGCAGAATGCATCAGACCACTCCACAAGCAATCCAACTTGCAATCTACTTCTCCTTGTGATCACTCCCTAAGAGCCTGTCCATACTGGCATATAGTTATGATATATGGACCGCTGATAGCACTATTTGGGTCAAGGGGTAGGGGGAGATTGTGTCTGCTTGTGTTTCTACTTAGAACAACCCATCTTCCCCTTTTAATAGCTGTCATGCACCTTTCTGACACAGGACTAGGGCATACATTCTTTTTGGCATGATTCAGTGGAAATCAAAATCCACCTTTGGTTGGACTTGGAGCAGCAGCAGCAGCGATCAGCTGGAGAGTGGACAAGAACAGGTGACAGGTGGTGGGCCTCTGCTGCAAAGCTGCCAGGTGCTCTGAGCCTCTCTGGTGCCACGGCTGGCTTCCCCTCTCTGCTGATCAGCTGTGGAGTGGAGAGCGGCCACGCAATTAGCTTGGAAGTGAAGAGGAGCAGCAAAGAGGCAGCAAGCCTCTGACACTGGGGCCAGCTACCAGCCCTCATTGATCGGCTGGGAAGTGGACAGCAGCCAGTATGATCAGTGGGGAGCACTTCATTGACAGCTGACCAGGCTACAAGGGGTCATTTGCTGTTCAGTTGGCAGGAGCATGTTAAATGGCACATCATTCCTCCCCCTGACCTCAACAGACCCTTCATAGCCCAATCCACCCCACACCCAAAACAGCCAGTTAGGAAAGGCTCTAAGTCTAGATACAACCCATACTGTCAGCCAGACTATGCAAGTTTCATAGTCTCTGCTCCTGTTTAACCTGATATATTTTTGCTGAGCAGTAGCTTCTGGGAGAAGGTACAGCAATTGGATGGGCTCCTTAAGGCAAGGCTGGAATGAGATTACAGATACAAAAGCTATGATCTTGGTCTCAAACGTAGATGATGGCCAGAGTGAATAGGTATTTCCTCACAGGTCTCTATGCCCCTAACCACTGACTTGTCACCCCTCATCTAGCAGGTAGATGCCTGGTTCCTGAGTATCTAGCTTGTACCAGTAATAGTAGAGAACCTCTATAGAAGTCAATGAATGGAAGGCACTGCATCCAAGCAACTGATTTTCAACAGCAGGCTAAAAGTACAGACGCATGCTGTCAAAGCAATCTGTCTTGGTGCCCCGATTGGGATCCACATATCTCACCTTAGGGCTCATCGTAACCCTAACATACAGGAAGTCATATTCTGAAACCTTGCTTCTAAACCCCCTCATCTCTCCAATGAATTGTGGATAACTATGAAACTAAGAGGGCCTTCTCAGTGCTGGTCAGAGACAGGAAATTATTATTTATTCAATTTATATACCACCCATCCGGCTACTAAGGCCAAATGGTACAATTTGGGCCACAGTTCCCAGAACATGAGAGCCAACATAGAACACAACACCTGTTGGAAACCTTTTCTGGGAGTTTTGCCCAGAGAAGTGGCTAAGAATCACACACACACATAGTAAAATACTGTACATACTTTTGTCATTCTTCAAGTGGATGTACCACCACTGAAGGCAAGAGAAAGTATTCATACCTCTTGATTGGACATTTCCAGCTCCTCCTCCAGTACTGCAACCCGCTCTAATGCCACTCGTAGCCGTTCTCGAACCTGCCAAGCGCCAGGCAAAGATGAAGAGGCATTAGCATCAACAGGGCAGGACAGAAACAACCACACTTCCCCCACTCCCTTGTCTTATTCTATATGCAGTAGCCAACTCTTCATTTATGTCACTTTTCTACCTTGGGTGACAACCCAGATTCTTCCCAATTCATATATTGTGTCTTGTCTTTTCGTCCGGCCAGCCAAACTGGTGAATGCATTGTTGGACTCAGAACTTCAGTATATCCCTTCAGTATATTGAGTTTCTCTTTGAGGTTTAGCACCTGGGACAAATTCCCGTCCCAGTCTTGTTAAAAGCCTGCCCCTCCTTCACCTTCTCATCCAGGGCCTTGTGATGTTCAAAGAGAGACTTGAGGGCTTTCAACACCTCCACTTCGCTGGAGACGCCAGCCGGTGACTGGGCCTGGCGTTTCACCACCGTCATGCGGAGGGAGCGTTCGTGTCGCGAGACGAGGCATTCCAGGTGTTCCAGCAGCAGCTAGGAGGCAGGCAGGCAGAGAAAATATTAATTAATTAATTAATTAATTTTATTGTATTTATATCCCGCCTATCTGGTCGGTTAAGACCACTCTAGAGAGAATAGGGCTGCACATGGGCTGAAGCTCGGGTGAAATCAGCCACATCTCCATAATACCATGGAAATATGTCTTTGCTTTTCAATAAAATAACCTCCTCTTCCAAATAAAGAATTCAGTGTGGGGTTGGCCTGGGAAAGAGGGTCCTTAAGCAGGCAAGACAGAAAGGCTATTTTGCTATCATGGGAGCAGGGTCTACCATAAGGGTGGAGAAACAACAGTTTTCCAGATGGTGGACTACGATCTCCATTATCCCTGGCCTTAAATAAATTTTGATGCACCCTAGGTGTGCCAAAAGCTCTGTAAGACATGGCAGAATTGCTCCCCCATGCTACCCCGAGGGCCCAAACAACGTTTTGTAGCCAACAGTCCTCTGTGAAGAATTTGCATAGGGTTCTGAAGACCAAGTTGTTTGGATGTATTCTGATTTGGATGATGCAGTTTTATGCAGGACCGATTGATGTAGCTTTGGCTTCTGCTTGTCCCTGAATAATGAATATTTTTCAATCTGTACAGACTTAGGATATGGACAGAATCCTTGGAAAGATGAAAGCCACCATATGTGCTTTGGATCCTTGCCGTTCCTAGCTTATAAAAACAGCCAGTCTCAGCAAGTGGGTGCTCAATGCCTCTTTAAAGCAAGACAGGCTGCCAGCGAGCTTAAAGCAGGCAGTTGTACGTAGAACCTCTGTTCAAAAAGCTCTCCTTATCTATGCATTAGATAATTATTGGCCAGTCCCCAATATTCCATTTGTGAGCAAAGTACTAGTGTGTGTGGTGGCTTCTTGACTCGAAGGGTCCCTGGCTGAAACCCATTATTTAGATCTGTTTCAATCTAGCTTCAGGCCTGGATAAAGATGGTTTTGGTTGCTTGAATGGATGACCTACTCTGGGGAACTATATAGGGTAGTATGTCCCTGTTGGTTCAGCTGGACCTCTGAGGGGCTTTTGATATCATGAAGCATGGTATCCTTCTGAACCATCTCTTTATGATAGGACTTGGAGCCACTGTCCTGAAATAGCTCCCATCCTTCCTGGGGCAGCAAACTCAGAAGGTGGTGCTGGGGGGATTCCTTTTGATGCCTTGGCTTTTAGCCCACGTTATCCCTCACAGTTTTGTTTTCTCCCCATAATATTCACTGTTCACATGAAATGGTTGGGAGAGAACATCCAAAGTTCAGTGCACTACTTACACCCAATTCTATCTTTCTTTTCCTTTCTTCAAGGAAGCCACTCCTATTCTGAACCAGTGTCTGGCAGCAGTAATGGACTCGGTGAGGGCAAACAGAATTGAAATACAGATCAGGAAACAGGAAAGAGATCACCCCATGCTGGATGGGGTTACACTCCACCTGAAAACCCAGTTTTGCAGTTTGGGAGTACATCTAGACTCTTTCTTGGATGTCAAAGATCTCAATGGTCCCCAGGAATATATTTCCATAGTTACAGCTTGTACACCAGTTGTGCCTGTTTCTTGAGATGTCCAATTTGGCTACACTAACATATGCTTGAGTTACATCCCATTTGGACTACTACAACACACTCTGTGTGGGGCTGCATTTGAAGACTGTTTGGAAACATCAGCTGGTGTAAAATGCTACAGTGAGATTACAGTCAGTGCTGGTTACAGGGACCATACTCATAACTCCCTTGTTACAGCTACTTCCCTAGCTGCTGGTCTGTCTCTGGGTCCAATTCAAAGTGATTATGACCTATTAAGTCCTATATGCGTTGGGTCCAGGCCATCTGATGGCCTGTATCTCCCCATATAACCCTCCTTGTGTCTTAAGATTTTCCAGGTAGGCCCACCTCTTGCTTCTGTCACCTTCATAGGTATGGTCGATAGGGTTCCAAGAACCGGCCTTCTTGGTGCCCAAGGTTATGGAAAACTGTCCCCAGCAAGCCTAGATTGCCCCTCTGTCAATCTGGCAACAAATAAAAACCTTTCTTTTCAGACAAGCATTTATTATTTAATTTTAAAATAATTCCCTATGGTTGCTCCTTTCATATTCTTTTAAATGTCTTTTTCATCTTTTTTATGTCTTTGTTTTCAGATGAGTATCTGGCTAGATAGCTAAGTGCTTTAGGTATTTGGCTGTGGAGCCAGAGATTAGAAGTTTGATTCCCCATCATGCCTTCTGCAAGTAGAGCCAGTCTTGGCAGCCTTGGGCAAACTGCAAAGTCCCAGGGTGGCCCCGAGAAGAACAGAAGGGTAAAACATGTCTAAGTATTCTCTACTTAGAAAACCTTGGAAAGGCTATCCATAAGTCAGAACTGACGTGGTGTCTCTTAATTATCATTCACTTAATATTACCATAGTCTATAGTTTTTCAATGATTTAAGTATTTTGTTGTAATTTCTGTTTGACAATGTGTGAGTCACCTTGTTCCTTTCACCAGGACAAAGGCACCATAAAAATGCAATATAAATAAGTCAGTAAGTCAGTCATCAGTCAGTCAGTAAACCGACCGACCGACCGACCGACCGACCAGATATTTTAAAAAAAGAAAGAACAATGGGGCAAAAAATTGGTTCTAAGGGACACCTCTTTCTTAGCAGGATGATGATCCAAGGATTCTCATGCTGGGTGCTGCTGACGGGAATTATGTTCAACATCTGTAGAGGTACCAGGGACTCTTAGTCTGAGCATGGAAGACCCCCTGCGTCCTACCACTCATCCCACTGGTGAATGCTACGTCAAGGGAAGATGTCCTGTAATACTTCCACGTAAAATACCAGTACCTGACAAATCCTGGATTCCAAACAACATTGGGATTCATCCCTCCCATTCCATTTCCTGGCTCACCCTTGTGTTGTTCCGTTCTGCCTTCAGCTCTGAGATTTCCTCCTCACGCTCCGACAGTTGTTCCCGACACAAGTTGAGCTCCTTAGTGAGGGCTGCAAACTCCTAGTGGAAAGGACAGATGGTTGTGAAGTGGGATGACTAAGTAGGAGAAGTTCAAGATTCTCTCACTTCCCACCTCACAGTTCTCTGTACTGCAGAGGTGGAGACTGTGTGGCTTTCTCGATCTTCTTGGACTGCAAAATCTTACCAGCTCTAGCCAGCACAGCCAACAGTGAGGAATGAGGGGATCCACAGCTCAGCAACAGCTACAAAAGTCCCCTACAAAAGTCATGAAAAGGTAACTGAAAAGAAAGTTGCCTGCAAGCCAAATTCTCAGATTCCTCTGGACCAAACTATAAACCCCTGACCCCAACCAAGAAAACAAGCATATTTTTAACCGAGGCATGTGTGAACTTTCATTAAATAAACAAACAGTTTATTTTCAACATAAAGGTTTTCAACAAGATCTTGGGAAAGCACTACGGCATTTGAGCTAAACGTTTGGCTTGCCCGTTGCTTCAAATATTAAAGGAAAGACTTCTTTGGCATTCTGGCCCCCAGTGCAAGATGGAGGATCCTGGCTTTTCCCCTGCCAATGATGTTAGGAGTTCAACAGACTTGGGCACCTTTATTCCTTGGTAGCTCTTAGTTGGTGGGCAAGGCAGCAGTGCACAATCCATACTATATATGAACCAACCCAAATATCTCTTCAGGAACCCTCCTGCCTCTAACTCTCCCAGCCAACTGGCACCATGCTTCCCCACTGCACATGGCAGAAAGAAAAGAGTAATGCTCACTGGGGAGGGAAGAGTTTCAGCAAACCCCAATCTCTAACCTAAGATAAACTCTACTTATGTTCAGGATCTCTCAGATGGGGGTGAGGTTAAAGAAGCTATGGTAGGTGCTTTAAAGGTCATTTGGAGTTTTGCATAACAAAAGCTAGAGAGTTGGTTGTTGTGGATTTTTCGGCTGTTTGGCCGTGTTCTGAAGGTTTTTCTTCCTAATGTTTCACCAGTCACTGGAACTGGCATCTTCAGAGGACAGTAGCTAGAATTCTGTCTGTGTTCTAGTGTAGTGTGTGGGATTGTCAAACAGCCCAAAAAACCCATAAAATCATTTGGAGTTTTGCATAACAAAAGCTAGAGAGTTGGTTGTTGTGGATTTTTCGGCTGTTTGGCCGTGTTCTGAAGGTTTTTCTTCCTAATGTTTCACCAGTCACTGGAACTGGCATCTTCAGAGGACAGTAGCTAGAATTCTGTCTGTGTTCTAGTGTAGTGTGTGGGATTGTCAAACAGCCCAAAAAACCCACAAAGACCATTGGATTCTGGCCGTGAAAGCCTTCAAGAACACAAACCTAGAGAGCTCTACAGAGAATATCCAGAGATGTGGTTTCTGCTTTGCTATTGATTTGATTGGAAAGACTGGAGAGTAATAGACCAATTCTCCATTCCTTGGCCATCAAAATGGTCTGCTACCATGTTCCACGACCAAAGACATTGCACATCTTCATCCATCTTTGGTCTTCTAGGCTGGCAACAAGAGGCTGGATTTTACCCAGCAGTACCAATTGCTAACTCCTAGACTATTAGACTGCTCCTGCTTTTGGAAGCAAGTACTGTACTTATTGGTCATGTTCACATATCACACTAAACCATGATTCTTCTTAACCCATGTTTTTCCGCTGTAGCCATAAATTCAGCATAGGAGGTTGGGAAACATGCCAGAGAAGCCACAGCAGTAAGCCGAGATATAATAACAAGCGATAGCTTAAACAAGCTAGAGTTTATAAGCCAAGGGGGAAAAAACACATGGCATTAAACTCTCTCACAAAACCATTGTTTATTTGACAATATACAGTATGTCTATACACATATATTCGGACACGACCGAATGACTAAACGAAACATCTATACACAACAATCTACAAATAAACAAGATAGAATAGGGCTGAACAATGTGTGTGAATCCAGCTAATAATTCAGGAAGTCAATTTTAATGCATTGCAAATGACCAGCAGACAAATTAAGAAAGGTTTCATTTTGAATTTGAAGCCATGTAGGTCTTCTGTTGGGGTGGCTGCCTCAAGTCTCTCACATGTCTGCCACATCTATACACAACAATCTACAAATAAACAAGATAGAATAGGGCTGAACAATGTGTGTGAATCCAGCTAATAATTCAGGAAGTCAATTTTAATGCATTGCAAATGACCAGCAGACAAATTAAGAAAGGTTTCATTTTGAATTTGAAGCCATGTAGGTCTTCTGTTGGGGTGGCTGCCTCAAGTATCTCACATGTCTTGCAACGTCAACATTCCCAGTCACACCTTCTGATAGAGAAGAAGAAAGATACTTTTGTGGACTGCAGTTCCCAGAATTCTAGAATGCATAGCCTAACACAAGATTGGGCAAAAAGTAGCCCTCCAGATGTTGTTGGACTGCAAATCTCATCGGCCGCAACCAGCATAGTCAACGGTGAGGAATGCTGGAAGTTGTAACCCAATGAAATCTGAAGGGCTGCCTTTATCTGCTCTTGGGCTAATCTACAGCAAATGCAGCTCATTTGGGGGAGCTGCATATCTGACCTTAGATGTATAAACACACCGATTTATATAGGTTTGTGTTTTGACATTTTGAAGCACTAAATTCCATGCCTTTAAAATAACAGGGAGAGGAGGGACACTGTGATCTTTCAAAACATCCCACAAACCCAACTTGGAGCTCCCAGCGAATTTCCTCTGGGTACATTATCTTGTTCGGTCACCAGATGGCAATATCCACATGGCTCAAGTTTGCCAATTTCATACCAAGACAAGCTACTTCAATTTTAGCCATAGAATCTTCACCAAGAATCAGACTCTCTTAATCCCGATCTCCAACATGGCACTCAGTTTTCTCATTTCTGCCTCAAGTCCCCAATCTCCAGGCTGACACAACTATGACATGAGAGGTGCAAGAGCAAATCTCCCAGTGTGTTTCTAAGTTGGTTCTGACTTGATGGCACAGAAGACACACAGAAGAGGAAGGCAGACCACAAAAGGAACCAAAGAGAACAATTAAAACCAGAGTGGAGCTGAAGCAGAGTGGAGGAGATATTTATTCCCACTGTAATTTTTAAGGCCAGTTGAAGATAAAAGGATTGTGACAATTAACACTCCTGTAGTTTCAACACCATAGTCTAAGATCCAGAACCAGAGTGTGAATCCACCCTACTCCTACAGTAATGTTGAGGACAAAATCTGGCTACACTCACTCAGTCGACTACTTTAAATAAATTTAGAAATACAAAGAAGTCATTGATTAGATCACTTCATCCAAATCAAGAGGCTAACAGAAGACATCACTATCCGATTCCCTAAATATATGCCTTTCAGACTCTCCAACAACTTTCCATTTACAAAGTCTCCTCACTATACACAGTGCCTTGTTGCACACTCATGCACTAGTGAAGATCACACCATGTGTACAGATTAGGCATCCTTCAGTCTCAAGAGACTATGGTAATGTGCTCTGAATAGAGGTCTTGGAACAGTGTCTGGTGTGGCTGAGAAGGCCAATTTGAGAGTGACAATCCCTTCCACACTGAAGACAAATAGCATCTGTCCCATCTCCAGCTCCCTGATTTTGCTGGTGTCCAAACTGCCTTTTTGCCTCAGCCTACTGGACAAGGGTTTCTTCAAAATGGGAGAGGCCATGCTGCACTGCCTGCCTCCAGGCTGAAGGCTCAGATGTCAAGGTTTCCCATCTGTTGAGGTCTGTTCCTAAGGCCTTCAGATCCCGCTTACAGATATCCTTGTATCGCAGCTGTGGTCTCCCTCTGGGGTGCTTTCCCTGCACTAATTCTCCATGCAGGAGATCTTTTGGAATCTGACCATCAACCATTCTCACGACATGCCCGAACCAACGTAGACATCACTGTTTCAGTAATATATACATGCTAAAAATTCCAGCTCGTTCTAGGACTACTCTATTTGGAACTTTGTCCTGTCAGGTGATACCAAAAATGCATTGGAGATAATGCATATGGAACATGTTCAGCTTCCTCTCCTGCTGTGCACAAAGGGTCCAGGACTCACTGCAGTACAAGAGTGTACTCAGGACACAGGCTCTATAGTCCTGGATCTTGGTATATTCCATCAGCTTCTTATTAAGCCATACTCTCTTTGTGAGTCTAGAGAACATGGTAGCTGCTTTGCGTTTATCCAGCTCGACATCTAGGGAGAGAATGTCGGAGATCGTTGAGCCAAGGTACACAAAGTCATGAACAACCTCCAATTCTTGTGTGGAGAGCGTGTGTAGAAACATCGCTTTAAAAAACACTGTCTTCTTTTGTTCTGAGTCCAGCTCTGCTCCTCTGCCACAGTGGTTCTGCAATGTATTTGAGAGATGAATTTGACAGCAACTCATAGGCTGATTCATTCATCTGTCTTGCACTTTCCCACCTAGTTTCTGCTAGGTCCTCTTCTTATTTTAAATACATGATTTGCAAATTTGTTCACTTCCCTTTTTTTTTAAATCAGCTTTTACTATTGGAAAATCAAGACCAACATCTTGCTGCAACAAGCCATGTGCACAGCTGCCCTCCTCTGGTTGCCCTGTCCTTTGCACAGTTGATCATACACTCAGTTTCACAACCAGGGTGCAAGAAAGCACACGAAATGTTATTTGCGGGGGAGGTCATTGCTTTCACAGTTGCTTTTATGTTCCATGTATTGCTTTCACAGTTGCTTTTATGTTCCATATTTCCTTATACCGTGGTGTCTTGATTTACGAACTTAATCCATCCCAGAAGATGTTCGTAAGTGGAAATGCTCATAAGTCAAAGCACCATTTCCCATTGAAATGCATGGGAACAGGATTAATCTGTTCCAGTATTTTAAAAAAATACCGTTTTTTAAATACAAAAAAATTAAAAATAAACAGAGCAAGTCCCACGCTGGGACTGCAAAAAACAAACAAACACACAAATCCAAAAATAAACATTGGAGCAAGTCCCACGCTGGGACTGGGGGGAAAAAATCACCAAAAAACCCAAAACAACACAAAAACATAACCCCCCAGCCC